CTCAGAGCATGTAAAGGGGTCTGGGGTACAAGGCTATAACCCAGGGCCTCACTCACACATACCAGTACTTTGTGCTGCTGACCCATGTGTCCTGGCCCCTAATAACAATATGCTCCCTAAAGAATCTCCCACTCCCCAGGTTGCTGGCCATGCTTTGTGGGTTTGTAAAACGGTATGTCTGGGGACACTTCCCTACCAAGGACAAGCTGCAGAAGCTCACCACACAAAGGTCGCCCCCAGGTGTCACTCTTGGTGGACAGTCTGCAGCCACAGGTGTGTAGTAGCTGAGCACCTGGTGAGTACCAGGCTATTGGTACTCACAATAAAGATATTCTGGGATTCTCTCTGGTTGTTCTGACTTGGGCTAACCTGTCTTGGTGGTGAGGGAAAGCCACTCCTATGTGAATTTGCATAGGCTGGACCAATACTCTATCAGGCCCTATTTGCCTTATAATCAACAGCTCTCCAAAGCAATTTAAGTTCCTAGCATATACACAGAAAGTTAGGGTAGGAAGTGCATTTTTTTTCTCACTTTTCCACAGGGCAGAACAGACCCTGGGCCAGCTCTAAGCAGCTAGCCTAGTCTCCTAGCTCTGGTCTAGCCAGGTCTACCTAGTTGTCAGTGGGGATTCGGGTACAAGGTACTTTAACCCTTAGCCCTGGTGGTTGGTTACTAGGTTCTCAGATGTGGTCAGGAGCCTTGCAAGGCAGAAAAGGTGCTCGGGGCAGGCCTGCCCTACCCCAGCCTTCACCACAGTGATGCTGGGGTTCAGAACGGGGCAGGAAGGGAAACAGCTTTCTTTAGAGGATAAGGAAGCACTCTCACCATGCCGCCCTCCCCCCAGCAAAGCCCTCAAACAGAGTCGAAGGACTGCTCCCCTGAGGTTTAGCATCAGTCTTTAATGCTGTCACACTGCATAATGACAAGTCACACACTTTGGTCTCATGTTCATAGTGGCAACTTACAATGAGTCAAATGTCAGAGCACCGGGCTAGCTTCAAAAAACAGACACCTTCACTCCCAAGGTCTATTCCATCACAGCCCTGGACAGCAGTAGTTGACAGGGACTGCTTTCATCCGAGTGCACACCAGCTTTGAATGGAATTATAAAAACATATTTACAGACGTTCCACAGTGCTCCTTTCATCAGAAGCAAAGACCCTTTTATATAAAGGGATTATATTTAGGGCTGTGCAAAATTCAAAAGGAATGTATCCTTTTGAGAGTTCAGAGTCCATTACACACACACACAAAAATATCACCTGGGTCTCTGAAGTTCCAGGTATGGCCAAGGACTACCTTTGGGCTGACAAACACCATGACCATAAGCCAACCAGCCGACTTCAACAGAGCCAGAAGTCCAGGGAATTTTCTGGTTGTCCAAGTCTCAAACCTGGAGGGAGGTGGCAGTGAGACTTGCCCACCTGAGGCTGGCCCTGTGGTCCTGTAACCAGGTATTGCTTGTGATGCTGGCCTGGCAGTCCTACTGAATTGGTCTCAATGTGAGATGGCCAAGACAAGACAGGATTCTTCTGGGGAGAAACAAGGCTGGGGACAAATACAGAAGAAAACAAGAACCTCTCACACAGTGGAGACTGACTAATGCACAGGGTCTGGCACCCGAGATGGTGGGCCACTGCCACATGACAGCCAGAAACTAAAGGACAGCAGAGGGGTGAGTCCAGTTGCAGGCCTGCCTCACACCCTCGGGCAGGAGCTAGGGTGCAGAGGGTGGCTCTATTCCAGGAGGGCTGCTGTTCCCACCGCCTGCCTATCGCTCAAAAAATCACTGTAGTCTAGTGCGCGACTTTGAAAGATTGTAATATATTCTGTGGAAAACATTCGGCAGAGCAGAAGCCCTCCCTGGGCCCTCCCGCAGTATGCAACCAGTGAACGGTCTGGAAATCTGCAGTTCTGGAAAAGTCCCTGCTCAGTCCTTGGGGAATGCAGGTGGCTAGATGGGAAGAACCTGCTCCAGGACGGTTCTGGATGTCAGGGGAATCCTTTCGGGGAAGATGACTTCAAATTCGATAACAAGGTCCCCACGTTTTTCAGGTGTTTTGGGGAGAGGCAGGCCTTCTCCAGGAACTTTCCGCCGCATACCAGGCCTGATGACATCTTTGAATACAACAGGGATGGTCCTGCCGTCCAGAGTGGGAACGTTCACAGTGCAACCACAGAGAGCCTAGGGACGCAAAAGGACCGTGTCAAATGGGAGCTGGCTTAGGACGCTTGACCCCTCTAGGCCACCAGACCTATGCAGTTGAGCCCCCACTCCACATCTACCCATGCTGTTGGCACAGAAGAGCCTCAGCCAGCCTCCCCACTGCTCCCACAGCAGTCACCTCTCACGATTCCTCCCACCTGGTACCTTACCTCCCGAAGGCTAATCCTGGCTGGATAGATGACATCAGAACCATCTCTCTTGAAGATATTGTGTGGCTTGTCCTTTAAAACAAAGACGATGTCAGCTGGAATGTTGTTGGAGGTCTGGTCCCCTTCCTTGGGAAATGTGATTTTGGTCCCTTCTTTCCAGCCCCTCTTCACTTCGATGGTCAGGATCTTATCTTCATTTCGAATGCTCTTTCCATCAGGGTTCAGTCGCTTGTGGGAGATTTTCATTTTCTTGGTACAGCCGCTGTAGATCTCTTCAAGGGAGACCCGGAGGTCGTGGGTGACTGGGGGATCTTGCTTCTTTCGGGAGGGCTCTTGGGCAGGACGGGAACGTCCAAAGTTCACATTGGTGAAGCCACCCATACCCATGGGAAAGGCAGAGAACGGGTCATCGATGTCCATGCCTTCCTCCCCGTTGCGCTGCCCTCCGAAAAAGGTATCAAATGGGTTTCTGCCACCAAAGAACTCAGCAAACATGGCATGAGGGTCTCCATGGAATGTGTAGCTGAAAGAGGTACCATTAGCACCACCACTGTTACCAACACTGGGGCCACCACCCTTTAGGCCTGGAAAACAAAAAAATCACAAGTCAGAGTTACTATAGAAGAGTCAAAGCCTTTGGTTTCCATTTCCAGTACGGCAATAAATCAACACATTCATAAAACATAAAACCCTTAAAATAGTCGGGCAGTGGTGGCACACGCCTTTAATGCCAGCACTTGGGAGGCAGAGACAGGTTGGTCTCTCAATGCCAGCTTGGGCTACAGAGCAATTTCCACAGCTCCTGGGAAACAAACAAACCCACCAAAACAAACCCTTGAAATAAAAAGCTTGGCATGGTGCCGAATGCCTGGACCCCACCTAGCACTCTGACGACAGAAGCAGGTTGGTCTCTGCAAGTTCCAGACCAGCCAGGGCTCCAACATGAGACGCTGGAGATGGCTCAGAAATTAAGAGCACTTGCTCCCCTGGCACAGGAACCATGTTCGGTTACCAACTCCCACATGGCAGCAGACAACCGAGTAACTCCAGTTCCAGGATTCAACACCCTATTCTCTCGAAGCATGTGCATACATATATGCAGACACTCATATATACAGAAGTAAAAATAAATTAGAAATACATAAAAGCCCGAACAGTGAGATCTTGTGACTGTGATGCTACAGTGCTTGAACTTGTTGAGTAGTCCAGGTTAGCCTTAGGCAATCCTTCTGACTCAGACGTTCCAGAGCTAGGAATGTCACTTATATCCTGTTCTTTTGGAAAAACAGTAGTTCATACTGTGGCTCAGATATGCGGCTAATTCACAACAATGCTTCAGTCTCCAAAGTAGGGGTGTAAGCTCCCGCACCAGGCTCAACAAGTTTTGCTTTTAGTTAAATATATATCTATATATCTATAGCCTCGGTAACCGTAGTGGAAGGGGAAATATATATTTTAAAGCTTGTTCTAGTTAGGTAAAAACCAATGTCAAGTCTTTAACTGCTAATGGCAGCAGGAGGAGGAAACACATCACTCCCTTTTACTTCGTGACAGTTCGGCAGTAAGGCCTCCAGTTGTCGGTGCCACCACGTCTACCTGACTGCTCCATCCTCCCAGTCACGCTGTAACACCTACAGAGAAGTTCCTACGCACTGCAACCGGAAAAGGCTCAACTCTGGGTTAAGCACTGAGCTTGCGGGCTAGCGGGGCGAGGGAAACAAAACACCCGGGCAATTTTCAGATTCTCATACCCTGGCGATCGCGACCGCCGCCCTTCGTCTGCAGCGTTCCGGCCCTGTGCGGGCGGCCGGCCGGGAGGGGCTGCGGCAGACGTGCTAGAAGCTTCTGTACGAGCGGCGCGCCCAAAGCTCCTCCTCCCGGCTGAGGCCGCCGATCAGAGGGCGGAGGCGGTACGGCCGCCGGATCCCCGGGCCGAGGCCTCAGAGAGGACCCGGTGCCTCGGTTTCCCCGCCTGTCAAACGGCGGGTCACCCCCGGCCGCGCGCACGCGTACCTTCCTCTCCGTAGCGGTCGAAAATCTCGCGCTTGCGCGGGTCGCTGAGCACATCGTAGGCCTCGGCTATCTCCTTGAACTTCTCCTCGGCGCCGGGCTCCTTGTTCTTGTCGGGGTGGTAGCGCAGCGCCTGGCGGCGGTAGGCTCGCTTGATCTCGTCGTCGGACGCGCCGCGGGCCAAGCCCAGCGTCTGGTAATAGTCCTTGCCCATGGCCACCGCCGCCCAGCTGTCGCCGCCTCCGGCTCCGCAGCTGCCCCGTCCCGGACTCTATATACCCGTCCGGCGGAAGCTTCCAGATCCCGCCAGCCCTCCAGAACCTTCCGCCCCTCCCGGCGCGCCGCGCCACTCCGGCCAATCGCTGCTGCCCGCTCCGTGACGTCGCACATCCGGGGTGGGACCCGGCTGCCAACGGCCTTCCGCGAGGGGCCACGCCCCTCCCCGCTCTACCCTGGTCAACGCCTCCCCGGGGCGCGCGCGCCCGCACCTGAGGTCCCGCCTCCACGGTGGAGACAGCCAATCGCGGCCCGCTCTCACTGCGTACCAGTGACGACACGAGGGAAGGGACGGGACTACAGAGGCCGGAGCGGGCGGCCGCACCCTAGCTCTAGGTGCCGAGCAGGGCGGTCCTGCCCGGTGACTTGTTGCTGCCTGACCCGAACCTCCAAGCACGCACCCCGCCCTCTTCTGCCGCTGGCTCCGTCCAGGCCGTTACTGTTAAGCAAGGTGAGGCTGGTCTGGCGAGGGATCGCCCCAGTCCGGCTGCCACTCAGACTTTTCTTCCTGCTGATTCCTCCTGGGATTGTCTGGGTTCTTGGCGGTCGTGGTAAATGTCACTTCCCTTGCTGTCTGCGTTTACTACCAAGCAGAGATTGGATCTTGCTGTGTGGGTTTGCATCTCTTTCAAGATCCACTAGGTGCTTCCTATTTCCAGGTGTTTGACGTGGGTGCTTTTTCGCCGTGGGGGAACAGAGTGCCTCTGTTGCTTGAATCTTTAGGTTTCCTGAGAGTGGGATGATGGTGGTCAAGGAAACAGCCGAGTACGGAAAGGGAAAGAGCTTCTGAAACTGCCAGGCTTAGAGAAGCTGGAGTAGTCGGTGGTAGTTCCTGCAGGCAGAGGAGCTTGGAAGTCAGAGCATGAAAGCCTGACTTTTTGGTAGTCAGAGAGTAGGCCTCATTTTAGATCCCAACACTTCCTAACTGTGTGACCTTGGGCTGGTAAAGTAACCATTCTGGCCTCAGTTGTGCTCATCTGTAAAATGGGAATGGCTGCTATGTACGGGAAGCTGACGTTATTTGGCATCGGTGGAAGTCCTCAAGATAGACCAAGGACAAAGGAATGGCTAATATTTAGTGGACGACGCTGACACCTCCTCTCTGGCACCCGGCAGCAGAAGAGGCTCTGCTGATCCTTACCTTGTGCAGCCTGAGACCCCTGAGAAAGATGACCCTAACCTTCCCTTGATGGTTGATCAGGGTGTGTGTGTGTTCCGGTTTTCCTCGCCGCACTGATTCCAAGAGAACTGAAAAGGACTCTATCTAAAACACAGTTGAGCCCCCGACGCCAAGAGACTGGGGACTAGGGAACCCACTAGCTCAGCAGAGGGTGTCCAGAACCAGTCACTTGGCGAGAAATAACAAGCGGGTCTGGCACCTTGGCACCTTGTTTTAATTCCAGCTCCAGGAAGCTGCCACAGGAGTCCTGTGTGAGGTCTGCCTGGCCTACAGAGTGAGACCTTGCCTCAGAATAGATGAGTGGAAATAAAACGTGTGTGAAGAGAAGAAGGAGCGATCCTAGTGGGGAAGCGCCGAGCATGAGCAGAAGAGCGGTAAAGCACCCAGCATGAGGGACTCTTCAAATTTCGGGTATGGCTTTAATGGAGACGTTCAGGTATACCTCTGGTGGGCTTGTCCGGGTTTCACTAAGGCTTTTTTGCTGTCTGGGAGGGTTCTATCTTGTCCAGCCTGTTGTGCAAAGGAAATCTTTGTGTTTGGGGACAACCTCAAGGCTGGAAATGTCCCGCTCTTTTAGTAGTGATGGGCAGAGTCACGAGGGGTATTTTAGCTACTACTGTGACTGCTAATGTTTTTTAAGCAAGGTCTGACCCTCTAGCTCAGTACCCCAGACTGGCCTTGAACTTGTGATTGTCCCACCTCAATCTCCTTAATGCAGAGCTGGCAAGCACCTGCCACCATGTTATCAGGAAGTTTCAGTGGTTTAAAAACAGGTGTGGAAAACAAACACTGCCTAGTGGTGACACACAGTCTTAATCCCAGCACGCAGAGGCAGGAGGATCTCAGAGCAAGTTCTAGGACAGCCAAGGCTACACAGAGAAATGCTGTCAAACAAACAAGCAAAACCAAGGTGGACTGATCCTGAGGAATGGCTCCGTAAGTCCTCTGGCCTTCATATACATGCTCACATAAACCTGTGCACCCCCATAACCTGCCCTCCTCCCCTGTGGACAGTGAATGTGCACACACACACACACATGAAGTTATGTTTGCATTTACTGTGTGTGAACCAGGTTTGGTGCCCATGTGGAGGTCAGAGAACAGCTTCTGGGAGTCGGTTCCTTCCAGCATGTATGTCCTAGAGATTGGATTTAGACTTTAAGGCTTGGCAGCATGGGCCTTTATCTGCTCAACTGTCTTGCTGACCCCTAGACACAAATTTTTTTTTTTTGATACTTCTTGCCATGTAGCCTTAGCTGGCCTGGAACTCAACATCTGCCTGCCCCTGTCTTCTTAATACTGGGGTTAAAGGTGTGTACAGCCTCACCAGCCTCAGACCCTTAGCCAGGAGCTAAGCAGTACATTTGGATTTAGCTGTCTAAAGTCAAGGCCTGCATCCTGGGAGTAGGTCTATACTGTATAAAATGGACATCATAGATTTTACTTCCTAGTGCTGCCACGTGGGTGTTGCTCAGGGGGCTGGGAATGAATGTATTAGAGGACTAGCCCAGCTGGCTCAGGGAAGGCGGAGTCAACTGTGCCGTGGAATAATCCTTGCACACTGTGAAGATGTGTTGCTCTCGTTATTAATAACAAGTTGATTGGCTGATGGTTAGGCAGGATTTTGGGGGCAGAGAGAACACTGGTAAGAAGAAGGATGGAGTCTTCGGAGTCACAGGAGATTCCTTGAGACGCAGAGCGAGCAGGATGGGAAGTGCGCAGATGAGGTAAATGAGCCTGGGGGCAGGCAGCACACAGATGAATAGAAACGGGTTAATTTAAGTTATCAGAGCTAGCCCAGGCCACACAGTAAAGCATGGAAGAGCTTGCTGGACTGAGCCCTTACACGGGGCACTGGTGTCTGATGTGGCTCAAATGTTGGTAAAGCATTAAAGAATTTTGCTATTGCCTGGTGGTGGTGATACACATCTATAATCCCAGCACTCAGGAGGCAGAGGCAGGCAGATCTCTGTGAGTTTTAGGCCTCTCTGGTCTAGGATAGCCAGAACTTCACAAAGAAACCCTGTCTCTAAAAACAAAACAAATGAAAACAAATACAAAACAAAACAGTATTTACTATTGCTCTTTTCAACTCCTTACCTGTCAGTCAGAGATGTTTAAAAACATGGCAGCTCCATTAACCACCACTGGCATTCCTAGGTGGAAGTCTATGTGCAATAAAAAGTTATGTTCAAATTGATTCCAGCACTAAAGAGGCTGAAACAGGAGGATGTCTAATTCCAGGGCAGCCTGGGATGCATTGCAAGATACTGCGTCAAAAAAAAGAAGCCAAGGAAGACACAAAACAGATACTCGATGTTCAAAGATGGCAAAACAGACTAGCCCGGAAGGACTCTTGCCAGCAAGGCGGAGGATCTGCATCTGATTGTTGGGACACACGTGGCGGAAGAAAAGAACTGGCTCCCTGAAGTTGTTCTCTTATCCCCATGCAAACTGTGACATGTGTACCTCTCCCACGTGCACACAAAGGAAGTGTAATTTTACACTTTTGGTTGTGAGCCTCGCCTTTAAAAGCTGAGCCATCTTTCCATCCCAGTAAGTATAATTTTTAAAAGTTGAATAAACTTAAGTCTGTGTAACAAATGGTATTTGATTTTTACTGAGACTTTCTGGATAGTTAGCAACAGCTACTGGAACTTGAATGTCCTTCAGTGGTTTAGTGGCTGTACAAGCGGTGATCCATGCGTACAATGGAATATGATCCGGTCATAAAAAGAAAAGAGCCGTGAATACGGAAAACAATGCCAGCGCACTTCACATGCCCATGTCAGTGAAAGAAGCCGGGCTCAAAGGGCTGTGTGCTGCTTTTTCCTATGACCTTCCAGAAAACACTAAAGTATGTGAGGAGATCAGCAGTTGCTAGGGATGGGGAACTGCCACAGACAGGGGGCACGGGAATTCTTTGAGGATGAAATTTTCTCACTATTTTTAAAGACTTAAATTTTGTTTTGTTTTGTTTTGCTTTGTTTTGTTTTGTTTCTCTGTGTAGCCATAACTGTCCTGGAACTCACTCTATAAATCAGACTGACTTCAAACTCACTGAGATCCGCCTGCCTCTGCCTCCCAAGTGCTGGGATCAAAGGCGTGTGCCACCACCACCTTCCTTGTGTTGTTCTTTTCTTTTCTCTCTTTCTTTTTTCTTCCTTTCCTTTTTCTTTTCTGTTTCTTTCCTTCTTTTGCTAAGGTATAGCTACAAAACCTAGGCTGTCTTTGAGCTTAGAATCTTACAGGAATTACAGGTGAGTGGGGTGGGTGGGACTTGGGAGTCTGTCAGAGCTCTTGCCACAGCAGAAAGCAGCTAAACAGCTTTCACATGTCCAAACCTGGCTCTACAGCCTCCCTCAGACAGCTCTGTGCCAGGGTCACACTCTGAAACAATGTGGGGCAGTCCCAGGAAGCTCACCACCTACCTTATCCTGAGTGGGAAATACCAGGGCACTGTGAGAGCTGTCTATTGAAGCCAGATCCTCGTTATCCAAATGACCTCATGGTCTCCAAAAATCAGGGTAGAGGAGTCCCTGGGCCGCCTCCTCAGCAGATCCTGACGATGCTCTGCGACTTGCAGTCAGCGAGTGATGATGGGTGTACCGCCGTCCGTCATTAGGGATGAATCAGCTCTGTGCTAGGTATGCCAGGGCACAGTTGGAAGCTCTGTCTCCAGACAGGCCCTGACAAAGCTGCCTCACAGTGACAGGCTTGAACAATGTGGCTATTCTTCATTCAGGGCTGAATCTATTGTCTGCTAATGGCCTGGTTATGGGAAGTCAGCTGAGGCTGCCCAGGGATCCCCAGCACCAGCAACACCCATCCAAAGCAGGAACCAGGCACGGGCCTTCACCCTTGCCAGTCTAGCCACTTAGGAGGCAGAGGCTGGAGGATCGAAGTTCAAGGATTACCTAGACCTTGCTTCAAGATTCTCCTTCAGAGAGCCCAAACTAGGAGCTGGAGAGATGGCTCAGTGCTTAAAAGCATCTACTGTTCTCAAAGAGCAATTCTCAGCACTCCTGCTGGATGGGTCACAAGCACTGACTCACCTTGGTCCTGCCCTGCTCCCTGTCATCAGGGAACTAACTGCCTTTAAGGACTTCTTAGCCTTCTACATCTGTTAACTGAAACAGGACTGTCTAGTTTCTGATGTTTCCCTTCCTCTACTGAGCTAGTCCTCTCTGCCTCAAGATTGTGGCGCCAGAAATCAAACCCAAAGCCTTTCACTGGAAGGACACTGTCACTGATTTTCTTTGTGTTTTTTCTTTTTCTTTTTTCTTTTCTTTCTCTTTTTTTTTTTTTTTTTTTTGGGGGGGGGGGGGGGAGGGCAGGCTATGATCTGGCTACATAGCCCAGGCTGGCCTTGAATTTAACAACCTTCCTGTTTCAATCTCATGACTACTTGGAATTATGGGCTGGTGTTTTGTGTGTGTGTGTGTGTGTGTGTGTACGCTCTTGTTAACAGAACACCTCAGGTGTTCTGGAGCTGGCCACCTCTCCCTCACCCCCAAATTAAAGTACAGGGGCCTGGAAAGATGGTTCAGCTGTTAAGAGCACTTGCCGGTCTTAACAGAGGACCCAGATTCAATTCCCAGGACCTACATGGTGGCTCACAATCATTGGTAAGCCCAGTTTCATGGAATCCAATAGGCACGTATATGGTGTACCTACATGCATACAGCCTAAACACTCATACACGTAAAGTAAGATTAATCTAGGAACTGTTATAAAAAGTGTCATTACGTCATTTTCCTCCTTCCTCTCTCCCTTCCAGTACCTCGCATATCTATCTATCACTTCTCAATTTCATGGTCTCTTTTCATTTAATTATTGTTACAATCCACTGAGTTCGTTTTTCTTCTTTTCTTTCTTTTTCCTCCCTCCCTCTCTCCCTCCCTCCCCCCCTCCCTCCCTCCCTCCCTGCCGCCCTCCCTCCCTGCCTTCCTTCCTTCCTTTCTTTTTGATTTTGAAACAGGTTTTATCTATAGCTTTGGAGCCTGTCCTGGGATTTGCTCTGTAGTCCATGAGGGCCTCAAACTCACAGAGATTGACCAGCTTCTGCCTCCCGAGTGCTGGGATTAAAGGAGTGTGCTATCATTGCCTGGCTCTTTTTTGTTTGTTTGTTTGTTTGTTTGTTTGTTTTCTTTTTTTAGACAGGGTTTCTTTGTGTAGCCTTGGCTGTCCTAGAACTCACTCTGTAGACCGGGCTGGCCTTGAGCTCACAGAGATCCACCTGCTTCTGCTTCCGAGTGTTTGGATTCTTGGATTTGAGGTGTGTGCCTCCGCTGTTGGTCGTTTTTCTAACAGGCTTAATTCACTTCATTTTTCTTGTATGAAAACCCTTATGTGGTGGCCACAGCTGGAGCCTGGGGTCCTCTGAGCAGAAACTCTGCTGTGGGTTTTTACAAGATGATCAGTGAATTCCTGATAAGGAGACTTGGTGAACACAGTCTCTATCCAGAGGTCAGGGGTCAAGTAGCTGTACGTCTTGCAGATGGTATCAAAGGTGACCCTGGCAAAGTTGCCCAGGGTGGCAGTGCCATCCCTGGCTGGCGTGCAGTAGTCATCAATACCGGCCATCATTAGCAGCTTCTGGGGCACAGAACCAGAGACTATGCCAGTGCCTCTGAGGACAGGGGTGAGATGCACCAACACAGAGCCACTGTGGCCTGTCACTTTGTGTGGCTTACCAGTCTTATTCCCCAAAGTAGTCTCTCCACACAGGGGCAATGGAAAGCGTGGCCAGGATGATGGCCTCTAATGGCCGTGCTACCTCCTTGGACCACAAAATCAGCATAACCATTGTAGTTCTCGATAGCAACAAAAGCCTTGAATCTGGTCCTCTGGCCAGCCTGAGTCTGCTTCTGCACTGGTGTGTGCTTTAAACCCTCATCCTTTAGGGATGTACCCAGGAAAACTCAACAATCTCAGATTTCTTGATGAGCAGGGAGAACAGGTAGGTCTTCATGTCCTTAGCCAGGTGGCCAAGCTTGGTGACAGGAATCCCTCTTGTCTTGGCCCTTACCTCCGTGGGCCTATGGCCGTGACCACGACTGCTGCTGAGTCCTCTGAGGAAGCAACTGTGGCCTCCTAATCCTGGGCTCTGGGTCCTCTGGTCCCTCCCGCTGCACACGTGTGCCATTTGATGGTTTCCCAAAGAAGACACCAGAGTCCGTTTGCCGCTGTTCATATGTACATGATTTCCGAGCTGATTACTTAGTAGTGGATAATCAATTAGGGGGCTCGTCCCTGGAGAAGACTAATTCTCTCTCAGCAGTCTTTAGTTACCTGTAGTTCTTTGTCTAAAGGTGGGGCCCTGTGAGATTTCCCTCTTCCACATTAGCGCGTCTTTCTCCTCATGTCATTATTCAAGCCTTACTCAGGCAGCCATATTATTGAGGTATCGTGGGTGTACGCTGCCATTTCCCAGGGTACACAACCACACAACAGACTTCCTGATCCTCCGACTCTTAGAATCTTTTCATCCTCTCTTTCTCGATGTGGGGGTTGTGCTTTAGATCTAGCGACTGGGTCTATGCGCCCCAGGAGCAGTTAGTTGCTTTCTGCATTTTGACCTGTTGTGGCTTTCTGTAGTGGGCTCTGTTTACCACACAGAGGGAATCCGCTCCTCTGGTGAGGAGGGAGAGCTACCCTTGTGTGTGGGTATAAATATAAACACCTAGAATGCAGTCAGGAGCTGTGCAGGTTAGTAAAGAGGCAGTAGCAGGTTCTCTACGATCCATGATGTCACAAGCTGCCTGGAGTCAGCCAGGTATATGGTACCAGACGTGATTTCCCTCTTGCTGAGCAGGCTGGCCTCAAACCGACTGAGATCCACCTGCCTCTGCCTCCCAAGTGCTGGGCTTAAAGAGTGTGCCATCACCGTCTGGCTAGACAGCTGTTGTTACTGCTAAGATGTAAGTGCGCCTTTAGGGGTACGCTGGTCATTGGATTTCAAGGCTTCACAGCTGAGAAATGGTTGAGGCGCCTATGTAACATATCAGAGCTGACACTGGCTGCCAGGTTCTCCCAGCATCCCTCAGACCCTACCTGTTACAGGGTGTATCTGGCACACCCTGCCCTCTATCCTGAACTCTCCAGCCCAGGGGCTGCACTTTACCCAGAGGCTCTTCCCTGTATAATCCAGACATTTCGTTACCCATGCCTGTTTGTACACTTGGCCTCCTGGCTGCTGCACCTGGTACCCTCCTGACCTCTCTCCCCATGTGTGAGTCCACTCTGGACGCTCAGATGTCCCTGGCTCTGCCCACACTCTGCCTTTTACCTACAGTGAACCTCCTCCTCCACTGTACCTAGGAGCAGTCATGTCCTTCCTTTCTTTTTTGTTTCTTTTTTCACTCAGGTTGCAGTATTGGTTTCTTCTTTCCCTTGGCAGCAGAGCACCTCCTGTTACTATGGAAGCTGGTCCTCATAGCGCCTTCTGTTACTATGGAAGCTGGTCCCCATAGCACCTCCTGTTACTATGGAAGCTGGTCCTCAGGAAAGAGGCTCCCAGGTCCAGCCCAGCTCATGTCCTCTAATCCTGTATCTGAACTGCTCTGGAACTTCAGCATATCTAACAGCTGGGACAGCAAAGG